GGGAACGCCCCCGCCCCCGCGGTGAACCCTATCGAGCTACTGAGAGCCACAAAATCAGCTTATTAGAGTTATTCAGAAATGCATCACCTTGTGAAAAAGTAATTCAGCACTTAACCTTTAAAAATAGTACTTAAGTTAATTTTTATATGAAATTTCACAATTAATTCCTTTGTTTTTGAAATATGGTTAGAAGTGTACTGTGACAGTGTTATTTTAATTAATTAATTAATTTTTTATTTTTTAATAAGTTTTTTTTTATAATTTCCATTTTAATTTTAATGTTTTTAGAAATTTGTATGATTTTATTTTATTAAATTTTATTTTATTATTTTATTTATTAAATTTTTTAGTAGATTTCATTCAATTAAATGTTGTCTTGGCATCTAGCTGAAATAATACGTTTTTAATATTTAATTTAATTTCAGTGAATTTTAAGTAACGAAAATGTTTTTTAATGGTTTTCATTTTAGTTTGAACTTGAATAACCCTGACTGCTAAATGAACTAAAAAGCATTTACGTTAATGTCATTTCTGTTAAAACTTGTATGTCATGTATTTTAATATATTTGTAATTTTTAATGTCATTTTGCACAATTTTAATGATGAAGTTGCAATTTTAGCAGGAAAAATTATAATCAAGTATGTGTGCTTTAGTAGGTTAGTCAACACCTTAAAATAAGTGTACTTATTTATAGCATGACAAAAGATTATTAAAACAGCTTAAACATGACTTAAAATGTACTTTAAAGTAAAACATTTAATTTGACGCTACAAGATCATAGTCATGAAAGTGTACTCTCTTTATGTACAATTATGTGGCTTTTTATTTGAATAATATTATTTTGTCTGCAAGTATAGTTTTTGTAAAATAAACTTTTAAGATTTGAAGTGCACATTCACTACAAATACACACACTTTTTTTCACAAGAGTTTGTAGTGGCTGCTCATAAAAGCATTGGATTCATTGTGTGTTTTTTCCCCGTTAGAGTACTTGTGTCACGTGTACGTGCGGAATGACAATCTCGGTGGTGTTGTGATCGCGGACAGTGAATATCCCTCCAGAGTCTGCTTCACTTTACTTGATAAGGTGCGTTATGTTGACCATCTATCTATCTATCTATCCATCCACCAACTATCCATCCACCAACTATCCATCCATCTGTCCGTCCATCCGTCCGGCCATCCATCCATCCATCTATCAATCCGTTCATCCATCCATCATCCATCCGTCCATCTATCAATCAGTTCATCCATCCATCATCCATCCATCTATAATCCATACGTCCATCTATCATCCATCCATCCATCCGTCCGTTCCGTCCATCTGAGAGATTGCATGGCTTTAAAACCAGGGCTTTTAAAACTACTTCAATCTTAAAAATACTTAAAACCTTCAAACCTTTTAAAATACTTCAATATATTACAAATATTTAAATCTATCAAATTTCAAGTTTTTAAAACTAGTTCAGTCTTAAAAATACTTAAAAGTATTAAACTTCAATCTTATTAAACTACTTCAAAATTTCTGGCTTGATTTTCTCAAGCCAACATCAAACTTTACTGTCTTAGGTGTTATTAGTATGAAGACTGTTATACAAATTTCCAAACATTATTTTTTTTAAATGAATTATGTGTACATTTAAATGAAATGTAACTGTAAATTTAAATGAATACAATTTAAATGCCAATTTAAATAATAAATATAATTTAAAATAAGTTTTTTTTTTTTTTTTAATGGTTAGGTATGACCATTTTCTCTCTAATGGTTTTGTGGTTGTCTGTAGGTGCTGGATGAGTTCTCCAGACAGGTCAACAGTATAGACTGGCCTTCTGGTTCTCCGGCGACCATTCAGTACACAGCACTGGACAGCCATCTGGCCAGATACCAGGTACGTTATGCTCACTAATAGAGAAACTGCAAGAAAAGCCGTGTAGTGGAACATCAGCATTGTTATACAAGGGTTTTAAGGGCACTTGATTAGTAAACACAACACATTCCATCACCCGTAACAGTTTTAGTATTTCCTGTTTTACAGAATCCACGGGAGGCTGACGCTATGACCAAAGTGCAAGCAGAACTGGATGAAACCAAAATTATT